GGTGAAGTTGAACTTTGGAGTAGTGGCATCAGTTGGCATACATAAAATGGCATCTGCCTGTATCTCCTCCCTCAGTTTACACTGTGGTCTTTGTCAGCTTCAATTATTTTCCCTGTTTGGCCTGCCATACACGTTGCTGTTTGCCTGGACGACGAACTCGTGGGCAAAGTGCAGAGGTATATCTGCATAGGTACTATCTCATAGTGGCACGGTAAACCGGAGGTTTTAGCTTTATTTGTCTATTGGAGGACTTAGAAGAATCTTAATCCTCAGGAAACCCAATAAATCCTAGTATCAGAACTTTGACAGGTAAAATCTCCGGACTTCTTTGACGTGTATACTTTTTTTCAAATACGTTGGGCCCCAGATTATTAGTTTTTCCGACGATTGGCATTCCAGATGTGATAGTTTGCTCTGAGGAGGCGAATTCAATTACAAATTCAATCCGAGATTTTGAAAGAATAAGAAATTCGTTAAAATAGACCCCCCAACACAAAAAGAGCCGTGTAGGTTCTATGTAAACTTACGAACAACAACGCAAACACAATTTTAAAAAAGCAAACAATAGATAAGTCACTCAAGGCTGTAAAGTTAACATAAACAAGTGTAACAATTAAAAATGCATCAAAGATTAAAAATAATCTTTACAGCATTTTCAAATTCAATTTATATAAGGAGAGAAAAAAATGCTCGCGAAACCACGAGAAGCAATTACATTTCAAAGATTACTTTTATTACATTTATTGCCAGGTTATCACGGAAAATAAGCAAAATAATCTTAAAAATGCCTTTCAATTGACGTAATCAATTTTTAATAGTGGTTATTTCTTAGTAACCGACTACAGAAAAAAAGAAATTCAGAAAGGGCACAGATCATAATTTGATTAATAGCTTAATCACTAAAAATGATATCATTTTAAATTAAATTTCCAATTAAACATTTACTCGTAAATATTCGTACATTTTGTCCTAGAGAAATCTAGAACACACGAACGAAAAATTAGCCTTTTGCATGACAGCAAAATTATATGTTAGGGGACTGCACAGATTCACAAAATGATCTTCTTACAAATCAAAAATCATTTTCATGTTAGAACTAAATGTTTTGGATGTCAGGATCAAGGATGAGGTCATCTTTTCGGAAAAACAACTGTTATCTTCTTTCCTATTTCTTAATTAGGTATGTTTAGTCCGTTTAGACTTAGAGCAAGAGGAAAAATATTTAAAGGTCGTACAATTACATAATTATTGAAAGCAATAAAACCTTAGTTTTGCCGATTATTATCAATCTGGTCGTTCATTATTTAAAATAAATAATTTGGTTTATCATTGTTAAAAAAATCCGTTTTAAAAGTACGGTGGGTTTTAATTTTGAAAAAGTTGCGTTTTGTTGTATTAATTAACAAATTTAAAAAAAATATTACAAATATAATACAAATTATAAAAAAATGAACCGATTACCTATTTTTTTAATGTTTTAAATTGTTTTGTTTTTACTAAAAACAAGAAAATATTGTTTTTAAACTATTATTTATATTGCATCACTTGTACATAATAATTATTACCTATTTAAATGTAAATAGTACATAACTGTATACCCACTTTTTAAAAAATTGTATTTTATACATACATTTTATGTATGTATTTCTATGAAATTATTATTTTACATTGTATCTTTGTCTCTGCATATAACTGCAGCCTTTGGCACAACGGAAATCCTTTCAGAGCGTTAGGGATGGCTAGCCAGGATAGGAGATGACATAACGTCATAAGCCTTGAATGTAATAAAGCATACTAGCTTTGATAGATATCCAAAAAGCCTTTGACAAAGATTAGCATAAGGGTATAGTCACCGAAATGATTGAATATAATAAATATAGCCCATCTTATCAAGAAAATTCTGAGTTTCCTTTTTATCAATCCTTTCCAAACCGAGAGACTTTGTAGCTGGTGTTACTGGCTTTAGCACCTAAGTATTTTTATTTTTGTGGATAACAAACACAGTAAAACAAAGTCCTCAGTTTCGGACTCAGGTTCTAAATCTAGAAGGATTTGCCGAAAAGAGGACATCGTTACTGGGTCAGTACTGGGTTCAATGTGCGGAACCTCGACAAAACGTGGTCTGTGGTGGGATGTGTTGGGCATTGGGCTAGGCGTGTGCTGTCCGTGGGCTAGGTTCAATTTGCGGCGGGCCATCCTTGGACCTTGTTCATTGTATATCTAATATCAACAAAATATCTCGTCGTAAGAGTAAAGATGGCTTTTAAGCTGCCGATATCACTCTTGGAGGAGAGATACACAAGCAAACCTGTAAGACAACGCAATTAAATTTAATCATAATAAAACAGAGGCAATAGTTTTCAGTGTATACCGTTGCAGAATAAAAAGATCCAAATTGAAGGTGAAAAAGTGCCGTGGTATGAGCCGGTCAAATATCTTGGGATGATATTGGACTATAAACACGTTTACCAACGTTAATGATAAATCCATTATATTGCATGGACTATTGACCAAATTACTTCTTTCAATTAATTCATCTATTTATGTAAGGTTTTGGTTGAAATGAAAAAGTTAGTGTCACGAGCGGGATTCGAACCGGCTAAATATTTCAATCCCGCTCGTGGCCCTAACTTTTTCATTTCAACCAAAACTTTACATAAATAGATGAATTAATTGAAAGGAGTTTATGATAAAGTTAACAAACGCAAAACAGCTATCTGCGTACTTTTCCCTCTGATATGTCGCCAATCCATCGACTGCCAATAAACTTCTGTGCAAGGTGGTGGTCAAGCCGATGACCCTGTGTGCGTGCCCGTTCAGGGACCTCACACGCAGGACTAATGTCACCAGGCTACAGGTAGTGCAGAACAGGTTTCTGCAGCGTGTGACGGACTCGCCCCGAACTGCACAAGGCGACAAGCATATTGTTGTTACATCAGACACATCTGCTGCCAAATAGATAATTATTATTTGTACAACAGGTATATGCGCAGGAGAAAAAAAGAACGTTCTTCTATATCTTGGCCATGACAGCTAGTTTTTAAACTCTTTTTTGTAAAAATTTTCCCCTACTAAAAAATTACGTTAAACCGGCACTGATTCACTTAATTGATCTGTCTCCACTCGCGTTCCCTTCTCAATCCGGATTCCTTCTTTCTTCCTTGCGACCTCTCTCAACCCTTGGTTTCAAGGGGGGGGGGTTTCCAGGCGCAAAATCATGGTGCAGTCTTGAGGGCGTGGCAACCTCTCTAAAGCACAAGCTGTATTCGTGTTGGCAGGGGAGGGCGGGTGCCTTTTCAGAGGCACACGAGGGTTGGGAACCAGATCCTGTCTTGCGGACTTAGAGAAGAGGCTGTCTTCTATCTGTGACCTTTGCATGAAAATTGCGTATGACCACCGTTATACACCCGGCCACACGGGATACGGCGGATCGGACCGAAGCGTATAAACGTTGAGGATGCTATGATTGCGCTGACAGTCCCTCGAATGCGTGAGTAGTGAATCGGTTGCTCCTATTCGAGTATGCTTTGCACGCAAGTGTAGGCTGAGCTCGATTGGAGGCTTTTACCGTAGTCGGTCTCCTCTAGGGGGTGGTTAGCAATTCCACTTTAAACAAAACCGCGGCCGGAGCGGATCCGGTAGTTTCTACGCTGGGGAAGCCCCAATACTCTTGGAGATAGAGTGGCTTTCTGTATCTAGGGAGCGCGCGGGAGACCAGGCTGATGTATTTTGGCTTAGGTAGCCCTTTGTTTGCGCGCGGCATACGGTTCGATGCTTAATGCGGACCCGACCACTCGGAATGGGCAAGCGGGTTGTTTTGGCCCCTCTGGGCTGAGCTGCCTCTACACCAACGCTTCGGTAGTAACACACTTCTGTCGTATGTGGAGGTGCGAGAGAATCAAAGCGTCCGATAAGAACGAATAGGCTAGGTGCGGACGTTACAGATCCTCGTTGTCCTTTTAAGGACGACCAAGTATACGGGAAAGCTATCTAAAGTCCAGCCCCTGCTACACTGGGAATGGATTCGTCGTCGCTTAGTGGTGAGACTCCTGGTGAGAACTTAGAGAAGAGGCTGTTCTTCTATCTGTGACCTTCGCCCAAACACGTATGACCTTCGTTATAAACCCGGCCTCATGGGATACAAAGGATCGAACAGAAGCGTATAGCGTTGAGGACGCTCAGACTGAGATCAAAACTTCTGTCAATTTCAGAGCTCTGGCCCTGAAAGGCAGAAATAAATAAATAAAAATACTCTAAACTCTACGCATCAGGATTGAACTCGAACCAAACTTATTTTTTTCTGTGTTAACGCTATTGAATATAAGAAAATTAGTATATTTTCATTTGAAAAATTGCGATATTCATCTTGAAAAGGGATCCGAATTTTATAAATTTATTATTCTTTGTTCGTAAGAACAAATTGAAAAACAAGACAGTAATGTTTGCACAAAACAGTTTTCCTCGGCTGGTATATTTTGGACTGGGGTAAACTGAAATTAATCATTCAAAATTAATCATAATTCATATTAGTCCAAATAGTATGAAATTGTTTGATACTGGCTTCTCTAAATTTCAAATTAAACAAACGATTTGTCATCCTATTTTTTTAACTTATTTGTTTTTTTACATATAAACTCTATGACAAAGACGCTGAAAAAATTACAATTTTATAAGTTCGCTCTAACAGCAAAATTGTGCAATAAAGTAATTGTAAATAAAAGCTTAAATTTTAAAGCTCGCATAGTCTAAATTTCTCAGTACAAACTTGCCCAAGTAAAGCAGAAAAATTATAAAAGGGAATTTATTTGCAGGCGCTTGATGACACATCTGCTTACACTTGGGCGTAGGTATGCAGGAAAAAAAATTGGGCGAAATTTCCAAGGACGTAATATATTAAAAAAGAAAATAACTTATTAAAGACCTTCAACTTTAATATGCAAATTTTATGTAACTATAATCACTTAAATTTTTGTTTTGTATTTTAGTTGTAAGACACTCACCTTAAAACGATTAGAGATGCTTTAGATGCTTGTGGGACACTTAATCCATTCGAATCCGCGGGCTCGACTGCGGGGTCTCACGCCTAGAGCCGCGACTATAATTATAAAAATCGATGTTTTTCTTTTCAAACATCGATGAACGAATTCATCGACCAAAAATATCGATGTTTTATTAAATATGGGAAAATTAACTAAAACTCGGTCTTTACTGCTATTGTTTCACTTGATCTTTCCAGTGGTATACAAATGTATACTTTTATTATGATTAAAATAGTATTTATACTGTACAAATCTTAATTTGCTTATTTGGAAACTGAGGCACCTTTTTTATTTTTCTTATACTGCTACTAATCTTATCTCCCCCTATTTGTCTGACAGAACTCACAAGAGTTAAAGATTCAAATTCTATTTCCCCCTCTTTTTTCAATTTCAGCTGTGTACCCCAAAGCTCTATTCTTGGACCTTTACTCTTTTCCATATTCCTAAATAATCTTCTGTTAATTCTTAATTCTCTCCCCCCAATCTGTAGAGACATGTTTTATCCTTATATTATCTATTACACATGCTTAGAAGCCTAATAACGCAGAAAAAAACAAAATAAATACAAAATAGAATTAAAATATAGGTAATGAGTAAATATATAAGTTTATATAGTTAAGTAAATATATAGATGTTAGTTGTTCATTTAAATTGTTTTGTATATATTTCTTTTTGTTGTTAAATAAACATTATTATTATTATAAAATGTAAAGAAGATACAATTAAATATATAAGAACCAAATATAAGTGGATATAAAAATGTTACGTAAATTCATCAGCAAAAAAAAAATTGTTTTGCTAAATTCAGAAAAATTAACTAAAACAATTTGGTCTTTTAACGTCAAATAACTGGTTTAAAATAAAATACAATATGGAATAGTAGACTGACGTATGGCAACGCTTTTCAATCTGGCTTCCGAAAAATTTATAGTTGTGAGACAGCACTTCTCAATATCTAACATGAGATCCACCTAGGCAAGTGTACTGTTATTATTTTGCTTAATCTTCCAATAACATACAAACATACTATACAGATCATAATTTGCTTATTTGGAAACTGAGGCATCTTTTCAATTTTTCTTGTTCTGCTACTAAACTTATTTCCTCCTATTTGTCTGACAGAACTCAGTAGGGATAAAGATTAAAATTATATTTCTCCCCTCCCTTTCAATTTCAGCTGTGTACCCCAAGGCTCTATTCTTGGACCTTTACTCTTTTCCATGTTCCTAAATGATCTATTAGTTCATAATTTCTCCCCTCAATCTGCAGAGACAAGCAATGTTTTATCCTCATTTTAGCTATTACAAACACGTGCTTAGAAGCCTAATAGCACTGAAAAAACAAAGTAAACATAAAATAGAATTAAAATATACATAGTAAGTAAATATATTCATTTAAATAGTTAAGTAAATATATATAGAAGATACAATTAAATATATAAGAACACATATCAATGTTTTCTTAAATCAGGAAAATTAACTAAAACAACTTGGTCTTTTAATTTAAATAATTGGTTAAAAACAAAAACAATATGGTATAGTAGACTTACATCGCATTGCGAATTTTTTTTTTACTGTTGTGAGACATCCCTTCTCAAAATCTAACATGAGATCCGCCTAGGCAAGAGTACTGTTATTGTTTCACTTGATCTTTCCAATACTATACAAATGTACTAAACTGTAAATACGTTACTATACAAATCATAATTTGCTTATTTGGAAACATCAATGTTTTCTTCAAACATGTTTTCAATTTTTCATGTACTGCAACTAATCTTATGATATATTCAGTCTACAGACACACCAGAGTTAAAGCTCCAAATTATATTTCTCCCCTCTTTTTCAATTTCAGATGTGTCCCCCAAGGCTCTATTCTTGGACCTTACTCTTTTCCATGTTCCTAAATGATCTATTACTTCTTAATTTCTCCCCTCAATCTGCAGAGACCTTTTTACCTATCAGCCAGCCAACTAACTATAGTGCTTTATGTTGGAAACACATATTTAAAGTCTAAATTATATTTAACCTCGTTATTTTGGATTCCTTCTATGCTTTCTTCTCCAATGCATATTTCAGTTGGTGCAAGCAATTGTCTACTTGTTAAATCCTTTATGTCAATCTCTTCTTAATTTCCAGAATCTTCATCGGCAAACAACTGGATTGGACTGGCTTTATGTATAAATTGACTGGTGTCCAATTTTTTTCATCACCCAAAAGAATTCCCACAGCATCTCTTGGAGGGTTACCTCAGGTTTAAATTATTAAAAGCTTAAAAAAAATCAAACATCAAAAGGATAAAAAAATATGTTAACAATAATATCATACATTGAAAACTCACTACGGCTATGTACGAATAAATAATCCCACATATAATTTTGGTTTAAATTAAACAAATAGAAATATTTTAAAATGAACATAGACCTACATTTGTAAATTCTGCAAGTAGTTAGCATTGATAGTTGCACATTTTCAAAAAGGAGTTATATGTTTTAAAAAAGCTAAGGGACAACTAAATTTTTCAAACAACCAATAAAGGGTTTCAAAATGAAAATAGGATTTTGTAGGTTAACAATACCACTCAAATTAATATAAAATAAAGCATATTTCCAGTGATGATGATGGGTGTTGGTCAGTGAGTTGATGAACTCATGCTGAAAACTCAACAAATCTTCAAGTGTTCACTGGGATATAATGGGTTATACTATATTAAATTGTCTTGTTTGAACAGGTACAAAAGGTTTACAAGTATTCCAATAAATCGAAGTGTTTTATTTTTATACACCTTTTTGTTTTGGAAAAAAAATATTTCCCTTGTAACATTTTATAGACTCAATAGACAAATAAATTTACAAGGTGTGGTTAGCCATTATTTAATTCGGAACCAAAACAATTTTAGATACATATGTAACATATTTCATTTCTTATAAGTAAACAATGAATAATAATTAAATCTATCGTCGACCACCAAAACCATACAATAACACTTAAAAAAAAAAAATTAACGAAACCCACTGGCAGTGTACTTTCTTAAAAGCTAATATAAAAATTGTTTAACAATATATTACATTTACTAAATCATTGGTTGTTGTTAAAAATGTTTTGAGCTTTGAATTCCACCTTTAATTATTAATTGTTTAAGTATAAATGACTGACTAGAAGAAAAAAACATTCTATGGAAAACGAAAAATTCAGCAAACCCCTAGATCACTAATTTCTTCCGCTTTGTACTAACCATGCAAGACTGTAGTCCTTATGTACTTCATACTATGCTGGAAAATAAAATAATCAGATATCACAATTTAGTTAAGTAATATCATTAGAATAGAGAGATTTAAAAAAAATGTGTTAAAAATCTACAAATAATTATAGCTCTAAAATACAGCTTGTAACTAACACTAAGATTAACCACCAACCAGGGGTAAAATCATGCAACCGGGCTTACTAGAAAATGTAGTCCAGTCTGGAAGGCTTAGCATCAGACTACCCACTGGGTTGTGAACAAGAATCACTATACAACTTTTTTAAAATTATTCTCCAATAAAAGTCCAATGGCATGCAAGGATTTGAAGCAAGGACTTGCTTGGCAAATATGGGTCGGACGCTTTAACAACTCAGCTAACACGGTCNATATATATCTACCAGGTTGTTTTTTTAAGTTAATAATACTAATATGTTATGATAAAAATAATTAGAAAGGTTTTTTAAATAGTATCTGAAGTTTAAAGAAAAAAACCTTACATCATAATTTGAGTTGCTTACAAAAAATTAATTAATTAATTTAAAAAAACCATAATGCAAAAAACAATTCTTTTTGACTTCTACGTAGTTTTATCTTATATTTCAGTCCTTAGAAATGTTACACAGTTTTCAGTGATTGTGCTTTACGGTAAGGACATGCCAAAGATGCCTTGGTCCACCAAATACTGGATTGATGCCTTCTACCCCGTTAGCGGATAACTGATTATACCGGTTCAGCCGTGATTTATTTGCCATGTGCCATCTGCTACTATTATAGCCAATGCCATCGAATACAACATAATGATTACACGTCAGCTACTGTGATTTGGAAACATCTTACCAGTTTATTTATTTCGACCAAATAGTGCACACGCATGGATTCTTGTAAAGTAGGAATATTACAAAGAAATCTATTAGCACTTCGTTATTCAGTTCAATTTTGTGAGAAGAAGAATGGAAGGGGTGAACCTTTATGACTAACAAGGGGGCCGGGCGACTAGGTGGTGTGCCACGGATTTGACTTTCTTTAGTGATTCTACACTCCACAATATCAGACACATATCTGCCATTTCTTATTAATAGGTCCGGGTTTCACCATTTTTTTTTTTTTAAGGACATTTTCTGTTGGTCAATATTTTATTTCAATGTTCCACTTGCTCAAATCAACAATATAAAATGTCATTTTACAACTTTTTTTTATGTAGATTGCAATTAAAATATAGTAAAAGCTATCAAAGTTTATCAACAACAAAAAAATTTATAAAAGCCAAATATTTTCAAGTAAACTAGGTCATATTTTTTTTTCTCATAAAACTAATATGACATTTCGTTTCAGCACTTCTAGAGACCTCGAAATATAAATTTTTGTTTGAATTTAAATTTAGTGATTTTTTTGACGCCTAAAATTTTTCCAGTTTTTGAAAAATTGTTATCGGAAAAACTGATTGAAATGGCTATAATTCAAAAAGATTGTAATGAAAAACAGACCATTTTAAAGAATAGGAACGTGCTTTATAACAACATATGTAACATAAAAATATATTTGTATATATTGATTTGTAAGTATGTCGGGTTCAAATCTTTTCAAAATTGGATGGGGGGGAAAAAAAGGAAAAATCAACAAATTACTGTTTTTTTTGTGCATATTTTAACATTCTGTAAGCAGAGTAGGTCAGAAAATGGTCAAAACTTGGATTTCACCTCATTGTCATGATTCTATTGTTATAAAACCTTTACATACGAACTTTCATCAAAATCGGTATAAATTAAATATTTTGTCTGATAATTTTGACAACCTTCTTGCATGGCTGACATTCATAGTGCAAGTTCTAACGTCATTTTTATAAAAAGCTAGTGGACCAATTTTCACGGTTGATAATTTGTTTTAAAGAAATTGTCACGTTCGTTTTATAACCGTATCAAACATTAAAATCGGACTATTATTTCTATTTAAAAAACAGGTTAATTTCTGACAAATATTTTATTTTATGTAGTTTCTTATAGAAATCATTTATATATTTTGATGGTACATACGTCATACAAAGCTACATTCCTCTTCTTTCAAATGGTTGTTTGTAATTAAAATCCTTTTCAGAGTTTTTGAATTATAACCGTTTCAATCAGATATTCAGATAACTTCTCAGAAATCGAAAAAATTTTAGGAGTAAAAAATCGATAAATTTAAATTTAAACAAAAATTTATATTTAGAGGTCTCTAGAGATGCTAAAGCAAAATTTCATATTAGTTTCACGGAAAAAAAAAATGAGTGTTTACTTGAAAATTATTTGATTTTTAGATTTTTTTGGCCATTGTTAAACTATGATAGCTTTTACTATATATTTATTGTAATCTATATTGAAAAATGCTTTAAAATGATATATTTGTATAGTTGATTTGAGCAAGTAGAACAGTGAAATAAAAATAAATAAATAAATAAAAAAAATTAAAAAAACGTAAAATTGCAACTTTAAAATTTTTTTGGTGAAACCAGGGTCTATTCACAAGAATGCGAATATGTGTCTGATAGTTCGGAATGTAGAATCGCAAAAAAAAAGTTGGCTCCAAATTTGTGACCCACCAAGCTGATCGTCCCCTTGTAAGATCACAATGATTCTTCCTGCAAATTATGCTGATTTTTTTCTTTCTCTTCTATTACTGACTACTAGGTAAACATATCTCTGCAAACTGTGATGAATCAAATTGAATGAATTGTCTTTCAAGTATATACATTTATCTGATATGGAGAGAGACAACATAAACTGACCTTGGATTATTGCAGTAAAGCATCTCTGTCATGTCCTTATCCTTAGTGTTTAAATAACTCTTAGAAAGTTTAATTAATTAAATTATTGTAAGATTCGGTTTCCAAGTGTTATTTTAAATATTTTTAAAAACTAATAATCATTACATGCAAAATTCTATATTAATTGTAGGAGAACTTTATACTCAAAAGGGTGTGTTACAAATTATAATTACAAAATTATTAACAGTTAATAAATCAAATAGAGTAGAAAAGTGTAAGAAGTAAAAATAATAATTAATTATGACAAATCCTTACCACTCACAGGATGAAGGATAAGCTTCAAATAATAGATTATAACAATTGAATTACATAAAAATCTGACTATCATAAAATTTGCACCACGCTATCTAAATGAAGATTCTATACATTTTTGGACAATGGCCGCTCGCCTTTCAATGTCAATTTTTAGTTCGCTGAAAATAAAAATATTATCAAATCAAACATATTGACGTAAATGAAAAATAAATAAGAAATTATATTTACAATAAAGTTTCCTTGATTTTTTCCATTATTGAGAATAAAAGGATAGCGACGGGATCGGGTTCGACGTAACCTTCATCCTCAGGTGGCTTCCTTGGAGGCTCGTCTTTCTTCGCAGCATTCCTTTTCTTCTCCTCTTCTCTCAGCTTTTCTTCAGCGATACGCTTATTTTCAGCCTCGATCGCTTCCCTCGCCTCACGCATTTCTTTAAGTTTCAGAGCTTCCAATCTCAGCCGGCTTATATAGTCAGGAACTCCTGTGACACGTTTTTCCGTCAGTTTTGAAATAGGAGATTAAATTCAATCTTACCATTGACAGTAACCCAAAGTGTAAGCGAACTTGGGAGGTTGGCACCATGATTATCAAAATATGTCAAGGAGAACTCAAGCCCTGGCTAGACCATAATTTAAAAAAAGTAACTATTAGGAATATAATAGAGGAAAAAAAATATTAAAACTTATTTCAGTACCTCATTGAAATCATTGAAAGGTTTTATAACAACATAAGACCAGTATTCATTGACTCTGGATTTTCCACTCACTGCAGGCGCACAAGGGTGTTGTACACTTTTACTCTTGATAACCATCACTTTTTTGACCGGATCAATCATCCATCTTCTGTTAAAGACATAGTCCCTGTTTGAGAAAAGAGCCTGAAAAAATAAATCAAATTTACATGCACTCATATTTCGCTCGTGAGTTGGCATTCAGGGCTCACCGGCCATTTTGTCTCCCAATAAATGACATCCGAGTTGGAAGAGGGCTCAGAGTCGATTTTCTTTAGAATGACCGCATGATCATCCCATTTGGTACGGTTCTCGACATCTAGGTACAGCTCAAAAAAATCGATAGCCGTCACATCAGCATATTTTGCATAGACTAACAATAAAAGTTAAATAGTTGGATGTTTTGATAGTTTTAATTATGAGCTTAAATTATGAACAATTACTTTTGTAAGTGTGAAGTCCTTCCTCAACCTTTTTCCAAACACTCATGTTATCTTTGTCGACGAATCTCATCCAGCTGTGGTCACTTGAAACTTATCAGAACAAGCTTGAATAAGACATACTTCAGTGTTTAAAAATGACATAATTATAAATGGATATTACCATCTTCATTCCCAGGGTTATCGTTCAACTCTTGTGCTGCTTCCTTCAGCAATGAACTACAGAGATCAAATTCCTGGGCATGGCTATAGCAAAAAAAATTTCAAACATAACATATAATACATACACATAATAAATATTAAATTATTTAAAGAACTGTAAGCTTAGGAATATTTGTTAATATAAGTAAAAATATTGGGTTGTCTGGAAAATAATGCAGGGCTTGATGCTGCCTTTCAATTTTCCCTCTATATAATAAACTGTTTATGTTTGATGGTTTATTCTTTTGTAGGAATGTCAACTCTTGTTAGTCCTCTTCCAAACAAAAATGTTTGTTTACCTCAGTAGCATTTCTTTCCTTGGGAATAATTCAGCCTTTACTAAAATGTCAACGCATGATTTTTGTATAATTTCGTTTTACGAGTTTAAACTCGGTTGGAAGGGTGCCAAAACCATTAATGAATTCTGGGGTGTTGGTTGTGTGAATGAGAGCACCATTCAGAGATGGTGCACAAAAATTTTGAGAGGGACAGTTTAGCGTTGAAGATAAAGGTCATGAAAGAAATTCTTCCCTAGATGATAATGTTCTGTGAGCTTTGGTCGAAGAAAATCCCAAAACTTTTTTGAGCTTGCAGAAAATCTTTCAGTTAGAAAATCGACCGCCGCTGACAACCTTAAGACAATTGGCCTTAACTCATTAAAAAAAAGGTGATAGACTTTGGTGGGCTTCATTTGGACTAATTTACTACAGCTTCTTTAATCCTGGCGAAGATGTTCTCAAATTGAAGCCAAATAGACATTGAAGCCAACTTTGATCAATTGGGAAAGGCCAACATGGCAACACAAAAATTGTTAGACCTTGGTTACAAGGTTCTACTTGACCCTCCCTATTCCCATACTTCTCGCCTTCTATCAATTTTTTTCTCTAACAGGTCAACATTCTATAACATCAAAAATGTATTGATCAAAAGTTGTTAGAAAATGCATTTACATAATTTGTTAATAATAAAGCCTCAAAATTCTATTCAGAGGGTGTAGAGAAGTTGCCATCACAGTGGGAGAAGTGTACTGAGTTATGAAGGGTTGTATTTTAATTAATAAAACATGTTTAATATAATAACCATAAATCTGCTTTATTTTCCTTACAATCCAATATCTTCCACCTCTTACCACTTTTTCTTACTCACTCATCAATCTCACTCCTTCTCTATCTATTATTCTTTTACTTGAAATGGTACGTTAAAACTGGAATACGACTTCTGTAAGCAGTGCCAACGATCTATGTGCTTATCGCCATCAACTTTTTTTATGAGTTGGAGGTTTTGGAAAATGTGATACTGCTTCTTCTTTGTCTTTCAAGTCTGCTGTTATAATAGAGAATTCACTTTTCATCACAAGTAAATATTCTGTCCACAAAAGGTTCGTTTCCATTTCGGCAAAGAAGTGTGGTGCAAACTTCCTAACACTTAACTTTTTTTTGGTCATTTAATGTGTGATGAAAACTTTCTAGCTTTTCCACCTTTCCAGCTGGTCAGCGAATGTTGATTTTTTCTAATTGCAAATCTGCAAGTTCTTGAAGTTGTTCGGGGATTTTCTTCGACCAATGCTTACAGAACATTAGATTCATTAATGTTTTTGGCAGTTTGGGCACCGTTCCAGAGGCCCTGCATTCAAACTCAGGGCCTTTTCAGTGATGAGTGCCCTGTCAAGCTTAAACCATTGCGGCCACCAACGCCCCTTATCCAACTAGTTTAAAGTTGTAAAACGAAATTAAGCAAAAATAACACATTGACATCTTAGTAAAGACAGAATTATTCCAAAGTAATAAAATGCTACTGAGATAAACCAACATAGATGATCTCTCATACAGAGTAGGTTAAGTAGCTAAAAGAATGGGCATGAAGATTGATAGATTAGTGAGTAAGGAAAGAGTTATAGTAGGGAGGTCAAAGTGTGTAAAAAAAAAGACATTTGAAGGAGATGGGAAAATGTTTGTTTGGTAAATGAGTAGTGACTGTGTGATAGAAAAAGTGAGAGATTTATGATTATGCAAAAAAAGTGATAAGATATAGAAAATTGTATGAGAGGTAAATAAGTGCTGAGTGTGAGAGAACACGTGCAAAGGGTATGATAATATAAACTGCTCAAAAATGAATAAGGATATTGCCAATTTTGTGGTATTCACTTTCCCTGGCATTTTTATTTGTTATTATAAATTGCATTAAAATTTATTATAAATTATGTTTTTTACTGAAGGAAAATATAATTAAGTGATTTTAAAAATAAAATAAAAGGTTTTTAGTTGAGATAAAAAAGTCAATGGCACAAGCTAAAAACCTTAATTAATTGTAATATATTAATTGGTCCTGGCACCAACTTCCCATCTCAACCGCACCTTTTGAATTTTCCCCCCTTTTTGCCATTTTTCAAATGTCATGTAATCGGATTGGATTCTCAACGACAAATGAAATGGCCACAGAGAGCTTTAGCGAAGTATACTTCATTTTAAATCATTAAATTCACTAATTTCGTGGTTCGCTTGACCAATTAATGTATTACAATTAATTAAGGTTTTTAGCTGAGATAAAAAAGCCAATGGCACGAGCGGGATTTGAAGTTGGTGTCCGAGTGGATCGAGGTCATGATAGCTCAAGTGGTAGAGCAGCGGCGTATTAAGCCAAAGATCGTGGGTTCGAATCCCGCTTGTGCCATTGGCTTTTTTATTTCAACTAAAAACCTTAATTAATTGTAATATATTAACTGGTCAAGCGAACCACGAAATTAGTGAATAAAATAAAAGGTTTTAATTCCATAATTTTGTTTATTGGACACAATAATATTTTAAACAATTAATACCGTATATAATGTCTTCTGTTAGCTAAAACCTCTGTGCACCTATCAGGCTATACTGTTAATAAGGTTGCCACTAATTTCATAAAAAAATTTCTCTCATAGATATTGCAATGCTGTGCTCAGTTGTTGCAGGTCAACTGGCTGTGGATGGCGATCGAAAAGCCTGCTCTGCAATGCACCCCACATATGCTCAATGGGATTTATACTGCTCATAAGGAGGTCTGGAAGGGGGCAGATAGGAAATTCCCAGGTTTTCTAAACATTGTTAAACAACTCTGCCCCTATGAAGTCTGGCATTGTCATCCAAAAATTGAAAATCCCTGCCAATGAGATCCCTGGTTCCAAATTTCTTGGACATAACGAACTGCGATGAGGTTGCCTTCAACAATATGGAGTCCAGTTCGCTCTTCGGTGTAAATCCCACCCTAGACCATTACACCGCCCCCTACAAACTGCACTGAAGGGAGCATGAACTGGGGTTGTATGCATCCCCTATTCTCGGTAGACTCTTCGGCGCCTGATATCATTGTACAGACAGAAACGTGACACATCAATAAACAAACACAAACATCAATAAACTGCATTCCAATTGGTGTTCTCTTCTAGGCTCTCGCTGCACCATATTAGGTGTTGGTGGGCTGTTGCTGCAGGTTGTCTCAAAGGGGCATACGATGTGAGGCCAACTTCCTAAAACGATTACGAATTATTTGTGTTGATAAACGACTTGTCATATCTTGTATTTCATTTAGGATTTGGCAGGCACTATGGAAAGGGTTCAGTCTTGCAGCAATGCAGTATTTCTGCCCTTCGTTAGCGTCGTAATGCACTGAGATCCACTACCAGGCTTCTTCTGCTCCTTTTGGCACTTCCAGTTTTTCGGAATCGAGGTAAAGCCTAAAACACAGTGAGAAACGCCAACTGCCTCTGCGATATCCGCTTGCTGGTCACCTCGATGACTTATTCTCACAATAATATTGCAAAATTCTGGTACAAGATGATACTGATGAAGAGAATACTGGATTAAAATGCAGAAAAGACGAGAAAAGGTGTTTGTTTACAAAATGAGTAACCTTCATGTTTGCTATTCTTAAGTAAAGCTGTAAATTAAAAATAAGGATTAACATTTGTTTGTTTTTGGTTTGTATTTTCTATTTTGTTTTATCGAAATAACAAAAATATATCGGTTAATTTAATTAAAATTAATAGATTAAGAATAAATTACAAATATCTCTATTCGCTTTTGAGCAGATTAAGAAAGAATAAATGAGAGGGATTGATGAATAAAGTGATAAGCATGGAAGAGAATAGACCAAAAGTAGTGAGATGTCTTATAAAGAAGATAGATGAGTGAGGAATGTGATAAAAGCGGGAAAGATAGTGTGCGCGTGAAATCTCCTTTATGGATTGGCATGAGAGAGAAATAAGCCGGAAGCAATTCTTTGTTTAGGGTGAACTTGACTGATAAGCGAGGAAGAGAGTTGATTGATTGATTGATATTCACCTTTGGAGTTCGCTGTCTGTTATCCTGTTCGAATCCCAGTCGAACTTGTATGCGAGGGCGGCGACTAGCAGGTCCCTCGTCCGTCTAAGCCTTCTGAGAAAGCGGAGGACGGGGAGCTCGTTCCAGAGGCGCGAGTAGAGGCTGACCACTTGGACCCCTCGCCGTATCCTGAACGCGATCACGAATTCCACCTGGGCGACGCAGTTCTTCATCACGCAGGCGGAGTGGTCTCGGAGGACCCGGGGCACTTCGGTCATGAGACGGAACCGCGGCCGCCTCCGGTCGACGGCCCAACGCATCGCGTTTCTCAACGGGATCATCCCCGCTCAGGAAGTACAAAAATACACGGATTCGTTATTAAAAATGGCCCTTTCGACCATGTGGCCTTCTACCACAGTCTCCTTGTTTTGATATCCCTTTTTTAAACCATCATGGATGTTTAAGCATGGTTGAAATGTGGAGAAGAGTTGTGTTTCCGTGCCTTGTGCACTCGCAGGACCCCTTTCACTTTTGGCCATGCACAGCTGATTCCCATTTCCTGCGGCTTCCTATCGATCTCGACATATCAAATTATCGATAGTTTGAACGAGAAATACAATTTTTTCGATTTTGAACTATTATTTATTTAACGGGCAGCCACACTTTTTTCCTTTATTTATTTAATGTACAAACTGTCTTTGTTACGATTATTTTGGGATCGTGAGATGCGGTCTGGTGTGATGTAGGTTTAGAAAAACATTTGTCGTCGAGAATCCAATCCGATTACACGACATTGGAAAAATGGCAAAAAGGAGGGAAAATTCAAAAGGTGGGATTGAGATGGGAAGTTAGTGTCCGAGTGGATCGAGGTCACGATAGCTCAAGTGGTAGAGCAGCGGCGTATCTAGCCGAAGATCGTGGGTTCGAATCCCGCTCGTGCCATTGACTTTTTATCCTAACTAAAAAACTTAATTAATTAATTGGTCAAGCGGACCACGAAATTAGTGAATTTAATGATTTAGAAAAACATTTTCTACATCCTATTAACGTTTCGATCTTTATTGAGATCATCAGTGCCTAGGATTTAGATACATTGTTTTACATATACACATTTGGTTACATATATATTTTTTTTTTTTTTTTTTTTTTTTTTACCGCTATCATTATAATATTTTACTTTTAATATTGGGATAAGTTATCCATTGTTATCTGCGAATTATTGTTACTTATTATTTATTAATTATACTCATAATTACTTGTACAGCCTTGATGAAGACCTCGATAAAGGTTAAAAGCTTGGCATTAAACTTATTTGTATTTTTCAATTAATTAAGGTTTTTAGTTGAGATAAAAAAGTCAGTGTCACGAGCGGGATTCGAACCCACGATCTTCAGCTAGATATGCCACAGCTCTACCACCTGAGCTATCGTGACCTCAAAGTCGTGGGTTTGAATCCTGCTCGTTACACTGACTTTTTTATCTCAACTAAAAACCGTAATTAATTGAAAGATATTAATTGGTCAAGGGACCACGAAACTAGTAGACTTATTTGTATTGATGACCACATCCTTGGTCTCAAACTTACTGGTGACATCCCGACAGTCGATTCATCCTTCCCTCAAAACATTGTTTAAATTATACAAATTGCAAGATTTGAAAATGAATATATACGATGATGTACACAATGTTGAAATTTTAGGTTTAATCAAAGTATTTGTACTCACTCAAAATATGTTTTCTGCATACATGTATCACTAGGTATCGTGTTGAAAGTGTTAGTGAGATATTAATGGTTTTTGTTTATATATGTATCTCACTAACACTCAACACGACACACAACACTGAAACACCTGTACAGAAAACATATATTTTGAGCGAGTACAAATACTTTGATTAAACCTAAAATTTCTATATTGCTTACATCATTGTATAAATATATTCACATCTTATATGTATTTGTATAATTTAAACAATGTTTATAAATCCCAGGCCCTGAAGATGATACAGAAAATGTTAGTTTTTCTGAAACCTACATCACGCCAGACCGCATCTCTAAATAATCATTACTTAACGGTAAATACATATTACACATACAGAAATAATGGCATGCTCGATGCTAGCACGGTCTAAGCTATGTCAATTAGTGTGCTAATTAGTAAACTTTGTTAAGATAAAGTTTTGGTTTACTTACCACTTGTTAAAAAATAAGATAATAGAATAAGAGAAAAAAAGGGTGGAAAAGTTAGTCGAATCTATTCAATCAAAGTGTGTTTTCTGTGTAGATGTGTCATTGTTGTGTCGTGTTAGTGAGATATTAATGTTTTTTTGTTTATATGTTTGATGTAGAAGGAGTGGGGAAGGAATTACATCCCCATATGTGGATAAGAGAGTAAAACAACCTATCTATGATTGAAAAAAAACCCAAACAAAATTCTACAGCACCCTTGTCTACCCACCATTTTGAACACCAACACAATTTCGACTTCAACAATCCAAAAATATTAGACACAGAACAAAACAAACATAACGTTACTTTTTAAAAATGGTTTACATCGACAGAGATAAACACAGCATCAATTACAGAAGAGACATATGTAAACTCAGGCGCAGCTACGCTAATTCATAAATCAAATTCGATATCAATAACACACAAAACATATAATACAACATACAAAACAATCATTACACTCCACACATCAAACAATTCTGCATAGTCTAATTCTTCAACAATTTATCCATCCTTTCCCCAATAATCCTGAAAGGCTAAGTCCATTTGGTTAACCATTACCCTTTTTTCCATTGTTGGTCACTTTCACCTCTTGCTGACTCCTCATAGAAAAATGAACTTCTATGCCTACTTTCTTCCCCATTCCTTCAAAATCAAACATATATATAAAAAAAATTAATATCTCACTAACACTCTCAACAAGACACAACCGTGACACATCTACACAGAAAACACACACTTTGTGTGAATACAAATACTTTGATTGACCTAAAAGTTCAATGTTTGTACATCATTGTACAAATTCATTTTCACATCCTACATGTATTTGTATAATTTAAACAATGTTTGTAAATCTCAGGCCCTGAAGATGAGCTCAATAAAGACCGAAACGTTGGCACTGTAAATAAAATATTTTTCTAAACCTAAATCACACCAGACCACATCTCATTAATTAATGGTCACTAAATACTGCACAAGTGTTTGTTACCTTGATTTCACCTAGACTGATGTTAACGCAGACTCAGCATATGTAACGGAACATCTACCAAAAAAAAATTTTTTTAAAACCTATTCAGGATAAATAAAGTTTATTGTTATTGGAAAAACTTTGTAAAATATTAAATTAATATTTTATCAAGTGATACATGCATAAATCGTCATGCAGAATAAATCGCTTTTCCAATTAAAAGGAAATAAAATGCAAAACTGCTGTTTTTACTCACTCTTATCATCCAATTAAGGTTAAAATAACATTCAAAACAGCTATTACATAAAAAATAATATGTATTAAAATTACCTTTTTATTCCATCCTTGCAATAATTTTACTGCAGGAATAAATAAATGTAATGATCGAACATACGTTTCAGTTCAGATTAAAAAGGAAGGGAAATGATTTTCGAGCTTATTATTAGTAATATAATAAATAATTTGTTTTAATTCACAATTAATCCTATAACGTTCATACATAATGAAATCTATGCTGTGCATTTAAATGTTAATGTCTAAAATACATAAATGTAAAACATTTAATACTTTCATTTTTTTGAACTACTGTGCTTAATTTGACAGTAAATTTGCTCCTTTTTGAGAGTTTACATATTTACAAAAGTCTTTCTTCTTAGTAAAAAATAGAATATTAGAAATATTGAAGAAAAAAATAATAACTTCATTGGTAACTATAGTTTAAGTACATAATTCACATTAAAAAGATTTTCTCTTTTTATAAATAAGGTTAAAATAAATGGGCTAACTTACAGTTTAATTGCAAAAAAATATTCTTAATATTTATATTTAGGAAAGACATGGTTTATCATAAAGCTATTATTTATCTAAATTTCTCTTAGATCAAGTAATAAAATAAAAATAAGCAGATGGATTAGACTATTTTTTCCTTGCTCAAAAATCAAGAAAGATAAAAAAATATATATCACAAGAACAAAAGAATTACGATTTACAATCTTAGAAAAAAAGTCAAACATATACATAAAAAAGTTACAAGATAAAAACACTTGATAAAAGTTGAAAATAGTAGTATGCAATTGTTTTTATGGGTGTTGTGAGATTGTTTTAGCCTGTGCCCGTGTTGTGTTTGGAGCTATAAGGAAAGACCTGCGTGACGTGGCCGATTCCCTTTGTGAACCCCTCTCTGAAGAGGAGTCGTGCGCCGACCCGAATAAATTCAGGGTGGCGTACGAATCTGAACAGAATCGAAGCCTTGTCATTGGTGTGCAGGCTTGCCTGGGACATGATCCCCTCAATTACGGCTGTCTGCCTTATATTTCCAATGTGCACCGTCGTCTGGAACCCTGGGTGTATGCTCGTAGAGTGATAAAGCAGGCATACGGTTGCCTATAAAATTAAAGTCCTGTTAGTAACAATTATGCACCTGCTTTACTGATAAATTAAAAAATATCTAACCTGGAAGAATATACATGAGGTTGGGTCCTCTTCAGGCTTTACCAGGACCATTCCACTCCTTAAAGCTTTTGGAGGTGGCTCAAGTGCGAGAGATGCGCTCTGAGTCGAATGAACTGCCCGGCATGGGGCCTTATTTCTGTGAAGTGACTGAATCTTCACCGGTGAAAATGTTCCATCGTCCAGAGGTCCTTTATTATTAATTTTTTAAAATCAAACATTTACAATATAAAAATCATTAACATTTTTTAAATTAACATACCAACAAGTAGTTCAGTGCCTTCCATTAGGATCCCCTTGGTAAGTAAGCCTCCAACGACAGTGCCTACATCTGCTACCCTGAATATCTCATCAATCTGAAATTCTGGCAGCTCCTGAAAAGCTTCACAATTAGAAAATTGTTATAAAAAATGTTAACGAAATGGGGCCTGCCTGGTCAAGGCGTTCTTTTTCTTTTGTACTGATTCCTGGAGGCAGGACGTGCAGAAACTTGTGAAGCAGGTCTAAGCCTTCGCCAGTCACACTTGAAACACTGAAGATTGGCACAACGTTCTCACGTTGTTGGTTTGCACTCGCTGTGATCACATCATCGACTGTCTTTATTACGATTGGAACCTAAAATTTATGATTTTAATATGTTTTACCTGCAGAGAACATTTTTAAATATTTGAACAATTTTGGATATGGAAAGATGTTGAAATGTTCATTTCAGGTTATGGAATTCTGGACAAAATTAGCTTTTGCAGCAATTTTGAAACAACATTTAGAAGTTTGAAAAAGGCAAACTTCTATTTTTTTTTTTTTTTAGCACTAGCATTAATAATAATTTATTCTTGGTATTTTCTCTCTAACAAAACTGACTATAATAAAAATAATTAAAAATGTGACAAATTAACTTAGTTGTTACCTTTCTAATGCCAGGACTCGTCAACATCTGTTTGACATTGACGATTGTGTCTCTGCTGTGTCCAAGATCCGTTTTAGTCACAACTATAAACATAGGTACTTCCAATGCAGCTGCAATTGCTACATGTTCCCTTGTCATCCCGACAACCCCCGCCTGGCTGCTGACTACCAACATGGCATGGTGCGGACAATATCCACTTACGGCTTGAACTACAACCAATTATCCTTTATTACCAACTTGGATGCTGGAGAGGTATCAACCAGTGTATATACCAGTAGTCCTCAGGTACTTTCTGTGTCCAGCTAAATCTAATAGAGAAATGAGTTTTGTGCAATGGTTATCTTCTCCACACTCGAGATCGAAGCAGTTTAGCAGCTTGCCCTGAGAGTCGAAGCCAAGGGTGGCATGACTGATGGAACTCGTCCGACCCGACTGAACCTCGTGTAGGTGGCGGAATGTATTAAGCCTAGCTCGACCCCGTCCGTTGTCAAGTTCTCCCTGAGTCAGAACGCCTACAAGTGTCGACTTACCAGCATCAGCACTACCCATAACTGCAACTCTGACCTCTATTGTATGCTGGTCAGCTGGCACCTTAGAGAGGGTGAATTAATAATGATAATGAATATTCATAATAACAAACATGTTTTCAATTTAGTTGTAAAATTTAATTAAATATTAATACATTTATTATTTTAAACAAAAAAGGGCGTATAAAAACAATTCAACTGTAAGAACTGTGATTGCATGATACAGCATGGAAAAAAATAAAAATAACCAACAAGTAAAAATTAGTCACCTTTCGGACTAATACTTCTGTCACTTTTCTTCCGCAGGCCACTTCCCTCTCTCTCAAGATTGTAGTCGTCGCACCAAGTTCAGCTGCCATGAGGGATAAAGTTTTAAGGCTTGTATCCATTTCGTATGAGGGGAGGCCTAAAAGAAAATTTCGCGAACTTAGAATATAAGCGGAGAACAAAGAATTAAGTGTACCTACCTGCCAAGAGGCCAGAATCCTCGACACCGATTTCATAGATAGCTTCACCTCCACCTTCGCGCAATCTCCATTTCAGCTGTTGTAAAAATAAATAAAATAAATAAATTAAAAAAATACATAAATAAATTTGTGATGTAGTATCATTTACTATAACTAGGAAAGAATTTTAATTATTCAGACTTTAAAACTGGTTTATTAACCTTGGACAGACATGAAAGGGAAAGTGAACTGACATGATGACATTTGCTGAGGCACTGTACAGAAATATGAAAACCACTGGATTATTGCTGATGGTTGTCCATTAAAGATTTATTCCTCTAAAACTCTAAACTAATATTATATTCATATTTTAGTCTTAAAAATGAACAGAACTTTATTTGTGGTTGGGTATTTTCATTAATCTTTTGACAAAAATGGATTTGGATTAGATGATAAATCAATTGTAAGAGAAATTGACACAATTATGTAAAAAAAATTTTTTTTAATAAGTACATATCAGTATGGTAAAATATAAAAATTTAGTATTGTATTTATTATTAGGTATTTTAATTAATGATACTTTATTTTCATTTTTTAAAGATAAATTTTGGCCCACCTGGGTGACTAGATGCTGAAATCTGACCCTAGAAGGGTTCAACAGCTTGAGTTTGTATTCTATATTTCCCAGCTGTGGCTCTGGAGGCAGTTGCCCCTCCAGGCAGTTGTCGTTGGGATCAAAGAGTCCAAGAAATGAATCCATGGTAGCTCTGCAGACAAAATGACAAGTGTATTTAAAAATAAAATTAAAAAAAAAAAAAACGTTATTTTAAGAGTATCCATCCTCTTTAAAATTATTTTACTATTCTTTCATGATTTTGACTTTTTGCGTATGGATGATTTTGGAATTATCAATTAAGAAAATCAAATCAGTCTGATTTATCAGGATTATGAAAAAAGGCAGGCCTGGCACGCTTATTTCAGGAATGGTTTCGCAATCATACATGATTTACGTTGTTTGGCTTTTATTTTTGTCCTAATTTTCTCTTTATATGAACTTTGGTTGCATACTTTTAGTAGAGTTGAGTGAAACAAATGGAACAGTTGGAGATAAAGGAAAATTTTCAGAAAGGATTGTACAAACCAGATTGTTAAAGGATAATTAAATGATTAAAATATATCATACATTTCTGGTTCTTCTTGTTATATTCCTCTACTGCTCTCGTCTTCTATCCAAATAAGGACTGATTTTAACTGTTAAAAATTAATTAAACAAACCAAGGGATATGGAACAAAATACGCCATACCAGTATCAAAATTAATCCCGAATGCCACCAGAACGATTTATTTTAATGATAAAAATAAAAGGAAAAGTAAATACAAACTTGTCATTTTCATGAAGTAGGTTTTCAAAGGTTGATGAAAATAGTTTAGTACTCTTGGAATGGCGGAACAAAATATATGTCATTAGTCTATCGTATTCCAGAAAAATTCAACCGAGCTCGTTATCACCTTCATTTTCTTAATGATCGAAGCTGTTTACCATATTTCGGAGGAAAACGCCAATTTTCTCGTCGGTGGAAATCAACCGAGATAGGCCGCGGTTTAACGTCCGTGTTGCAAGGATTGGGGCCACGACGGGCAGTTAAGCAAGGGGGCTTTCACTTCACGCATTGAGTTTGTTTTAAATCACGATATGGCTGTAGCAAAGTACGAGATCCAGTTGGGAAAAAAATGAATGTTGTAAGATGTAAATATGAGTGTCTCTTAACTTATATTGCATCTCACGTTTCGTATACACTTTGAACGTAAAAATGTTTTTGTTTTACATTTTACGTTTCGGTTGAAGCAGAGCTGAAATGATGTAGGGATATGAAATTCTGAAACTTCCACCGGTTTAATTGTGAAAATGAGAGTGCACAGTGTGAAAGATTAAAATGGAAAGTGAAAACATCGCACTTGATAAAAGTGGAATCCCAACGCCTATCCTTACTGTTTTGATCTGTCAGACTCCTTGCAGCATTTCGCAATCTTCACTGCTTAGTCTGGTAACAGCCAAAATTTAAAATTTAGTAAGTAATAATAGATAGAGTAAATATAGTTTGCATTGTTGTAAACCACCAATCAACTCCGGTTTATTTATTTAAAACACAAATCATGTAGAAATATATTAAAAAAGAAGGATATTTATTTTATATCATACCAATCACTTCGAGATGAGAGAGAACACACAGAAATGTTAATTCTATCCGCAACGCTCATTGGACCATATTTAAAAATAACAACTGCTCGTCGATAACTGCATCCTTACAAAAAAATGTAAACGGAACAGTTAAGAGATATTCAAGAACAAAACGAACTGAACCGATTGCATCTAATTATATCTTTCAATGGAACAATGTAGTAAAATATTCTAATGAACACAGTCCGCCTTTTTATATGTTTTCATATGTGAAAATACTCTTCTGACATTACTTTTTTTTGGGGGGGGGGCTTAGATCATCGTGTAGTAAGTAGATATGCTAAATAAGTCTTCATGTCCCTTTTTTATGTTTGTATAATTTTGTTTTGTTTTAATCTTAATTACAAATAACAATAAAAGTAAAAATACGTTCGATTTACTTACTAAAGTAGTGGATATCGTTTTGAGCATAAATCGTAATTTAGAGATTAAAAAAAATAATTTTGGTAATTTCATGGTTGGTTAACATAAAAACAAAAATAACTTGAACAAAAGGATCTTCAGTGAGGTCACAAGAGAAACGATAACTCTTTAAGTCTTTGCCGAGCTTTCGACGATTATATCGTCATCATCAGGGCCTATTTATTTTAACAAATTATCGCAAATTGAAACATGTTATATCATTTTAAAAAAATTACAAAAAACAGTTATTTATCTTGTATTTATCTTTTTGTAATTTTTTTAAACGATATAACATGTTTCTAACTGCGATAATTTGCTAAAATAAATAGGCCCTGATGATGACGATATAAGTCGAAAGCTCGACAAAGACAGAGTTGTCGTTTCTGTTGTGACATCACTGAAGATCCTTTTGTTTAAGTTGTTCAACATGCAGGTCGATACATCATCTCACCTTTAAAAACAAAAATATTCTACAACGCAGAATATTCTAACTTTGAAAAATCAACAAAATACTGTTTTTTGTGTGCATATTTTAACAAACATTCTGTATGAAAAGAAGGTCAGAAAATGGTCAAAACCATTTGACCTAATTGTCGTGAGTCTATCGTTACAAAAACCTAAGATATCGACTTTCCAGGAAATCGAAGTAAATTAATTTTGTGACAGATCATTTCGACGATCTTTTGCCCCTACTTGACTGACATTCCTAGTGCAAGCTCAATATCATTTTTCTTAAAACCTAGTAGACCGATTTTCATGGTACATAATCACTTTAATCATTTTAACCAGATTGTCAAGTGCATTTTATAACTATAAAAATTAAAATCGGAATATTATTTCCATTATAAAAAGGAAGTTAATTTCCGACAACTAATTTTGCTATTTTGTGTATTTTCTTATAGAAATCTTATATATATTTTTATGGTACATATGACGTTCAAAAGCTATGTTCCTCTTCTTTCAAATGGTCTGACGTTAAAATCCTTTCAGCTGTTTCAACCAGATATTCCGATAACGACTTCTCAAAAAACGAAAAATTTTTATTGGTCAAAAAACGATTAATTTAAATTGAAACAAAATTTTTTACGACCTAGTTTACTGGAAAAATACTTATTTTTAGACATTTTTGGCTATTAATAAACTTTAATAGCTTTTACTATATTTTATTGCAGTCTTCATAAAAATTGCTGTAAAATAATATATTTATATAGTTGTTTTGAGCAGGTAGAACAGCGAAATAAAAATATTAAAAAACAGAAAAATTCAACTTTCAATTTTTTTTTGCAAAACCAGGGCTTATTCACAGTAGTGGCAGGTAAGTGTCCGATATTTTACAGTGTAGATTCACCAAAAACAAGTTTGGTCCAAATCCGTGACCCACCAACCTGGTAGTCCTCTTGTGAGTCGAATTTTGTCAATTGTATACAATTTCCAAATTGTTCATTTTTTATTATAAACTTTTATATGTAGAGGATAAGGCTGGAAAAATGGTACATACACTAACCACTGAAGATGGTGAAGTGCCGAAACGTTCACACACACACACACACACACACACACACACGCGCGCGCGCGCGCCCACGCCCACCAGTAAGGAAGACCAGGATGAGCGATACATCTTTCTTTGACTAAGATCTAATAAATGTTCTAAAGACTCTTCGTGTAATTATTTTAATTTTTGGCACCCGTATTTTGACTACATAAATATCCATCAAACAACAGTGAATGAATTCTGAGGTTATTGTACAAATAAAATTCTTTTATGATGACATTTTTCTTAGGGATTTTGTATAAATGATCTTGAAATGTTCACCAGAGCATTTTAAGTAATTATAAATTCAGATCTCTGATTCATCTTGTCTGGTACGACTTATTTTCGGATGGAATGGATTTTCGGAATAACACATCAATTACATTATTTGACTTTGATTTTTGTCTTTCGTCGTCATTTAAATTTTCAAGAATAATCTATGGCCTGGATGAAGAAACAAATTAAATTGTTATATACCAAGTTTTTGACCTGTTTTAATACCATTTGTTCATCAGGGCAAAACAATCTTCAAGATGTCTACAAATTTACATAATCAAAATTTTAATATATCGTTTAAAATTTTTTTGAAAACCAACTCAGTCCAACATTGCCAAGGACTATAACATATTGACAAAAAAAGCTGGAAAAACTGTGATAATATGCTGGGTTAAAGGTATTCATCATAAAGAAACAGTGGGTGCATTGGCGAAGGAGGTACCACTGTATCTGGTGCATCCCTTCAGTTGAAAAAAAGACGGTAAAATGTTTTTTTCAACTAAATGTGTTCCAATATATGGGATAAAGAATGCAGCTCTGGGGAGTACCAGGAGGAGAATAGCTGGGGAGTACCATCGAGTTGTATTTCCAAAGCTTAAAGCAAAACCGTGGTTTTCGGAAGGAGGCAGACAAAAGGATTCTATTATCTTCAGAATGAAAACTAACCATGGCCTGTGGGGGATTATATGCATAGAATTGGAATAAGCACTTCCCCTAACTGCCAAACATGCGACAGTCCATCAAATCCCAGTCATATAATACTAGAATGCCCAGAGTATGATAACCAGAGGAAACAATTATTGGATGATTTGTATAGTATATTTGGCCCAATAACTCTCGAAATGCTGTTGGCAAGTAACAACTCGACGGTTTTGGATTTAATTTGCAAATTTCTTAAATCATTTAACATTTCATTTTAAGGTCCGGGAGAAGGAAAAAACCTGCTAAAATAATGAAGACAATACTTTAAAAAAATCATATGGCAATATTTCCAAAGGAAAAAGCCAAGGAAAAGAAAAAATCCACTGTTGACAATCAAACATTGATATTTTTCTTTTTATTGATTTTTATATCTATAAAACAATTACAACAGAAAAATGCTGGAACAAAACTGACATGACAAACATGTGAGGAGAAATCACCCAGTGGGATGGGGTGGATTTTTTTTAATAGCTTTCCTCTACTTCTGAACAAAGGGAATGTTAAGGTCTCGGTGTATGGTGAGGTTGAGGTTTGATACAAAATAAGGAGGGTTACAGATTCTTGTTAGGACTTTTGATTGAAATTTTTGGATGCGTTGCAATTCTTGGTTGACCCCC